CACCTAAGTGGTTCTTGAGGAACTGCGATCAGATGGGCACGCACTTGGGCTCGCGTGCATGTGTCTCCGGTCCAGGTTTAAGGCCATCGCGTGGGCACAACCACCGCAAAGGCATATGACCTTGAAGGCAGTCCGCATTGACAAAGAAATTATTGTGGCAGTCAGTCACAGGCACGAGGCTTCAGGAAAGCTGGCTACACTTCTAGCAATCCTAACTGTTGCTTGGCCCAAGTTGGCTGTTCAGGAGAGAATGTGTTTCCAAGACTAACATGTCTGTCTGCGTAAAATGCTACGGAAGAAAAACCGATGCGTCAACTTACGATATCTTTCGGAGTACATGCTGGTGATACGTCGCATCTGTTCAAACACCTCAGCCGGCACAGGCGGTGTATTTGAATCTCCGCTGGGCTTCGTCTGCGGTCCCGTTGTTGTCTGCCGGGCGCCCTCCTCCACGTACCGCATTTTCAGGGAACCACAGGCGTCTTCACATTCTGCCTTGGTAGTGAAGCGGTTTCCATTGCCCAGGCAACCGCCATATATGAAGAGCTGGCACTTCTGTTCGACGGGGTCGTAGAAGTAACGGATATGCGTACCGACGCAGGGACCAGTGTCCTTGGGCAAACGACAGACATCTGTAATTCAATAAAAGTCAAGTGTCGGCGTCATTCTATGTTGTAAACATCCAGTAAATGCAATTCTGCAAAAGCTAAAATCAGTCCACTGAACAAAAGAGAGTTGAGATTATCCAGAATCTTAACTAAAAGTTACTGTTTTCCTCTGGATTCCACAGTCCATCGGCCTCTGAGGGGAATCACTCAATCGATTTATCGATCTGTTGCTGAAATGTACATCCATGTGCAGTTATTGGCGTTTGATTGGCCCCTATTCTCTATAAAATTACCTTTTTCCGCTTCCGATTTCACCTCTGACGATGGACTCCAGTAAGAGTCTGAAATCTCAAAGGACTTAAACCATAATTTCGGCAAGAAGGACATTTTCCTTCTTCTGTACTTATACACATATTCAATAGGAACATTTGCCTTTATGCGTAATGCCTTGTTTTTCACGGCATCGCATATATCTACTTACGTTTACTTATAAGGGATATGCTATCTCATGCAACTTTCACCGAAATTCTGGAATGTGGTTTCGATCGGAAAATATCCCTTGATTAGGGTTTGGATACTGCGTATCGTACAGCATAAGCTCAAGATATTTCAGTCAGGTCCGAGCGCTGTCTCTTGAACAAGATTCTCTACAATTGTCAGCAAGAACTATACTTCTCTTTTATAAAAGACTGCTTAGGTATTAAGCGATTTTTCCTTATATTTTTTTAAATATAATATTGGAAAACACGCATTACAATATTCTTTCCCGCCCCCCTTTGGCAGATACATAACTCTCTTTTTAAAAGTTTATAGTCGAAGAAAGGTGTATCTCTCAGTTAAAAAAACATTTTCAATTCCTGAATAATATTGAGCCCAAGCTACATTACATTCAGACATTCAGGCTTTTGAAACTGCAAGTTGTATAAGTTGCATGTAAGGAAAATCAGTAATTTCTATAAAAAATTAAGAGGACCTCATGCAAGGCCCATAACTTCTGGTGGTGGATATGAGACATATTCGATGCTTAACAATCAGCACTATCAAATAGATATAGCCGGTGATTTACGAATATAATTTTTGGGCTCTAAAACATTGCATGAGGGGAGACTTCTTTTAAAGCGAAGGCTATCATTTCTTTAAATAAACACCTTAGGAATGCACACAATACATACTTTTTACCAAATAAGTATTATAAAATATATTAAGGCGTCCGTTCTCTATAAAAAATGTTTAAATTTATAAGGGAATTGACAATCAAAGGGTAAATGCACGGTACTTAAAAAGCGTTTTTCTTCTAAAGTATAGTTCTTGCAAGCGGTCAAAAAGAAGATCGTTCAAGAGTCGACATCTTAAAGTGATTGCAATAGCTTGAGATTATATAACACGATGGTCATCCTTACAAGCCTGCTTATTTGGTCGTTTATAATCAAAATCAGATTTCAGAGTTTCAGTTAGCATGTATCGTACTTATGCCAAATGTATTTTTCTGAATCACCATCGCGAGCTGAGGGAAATGTTCTCATCCCAGATGTGGGTACAGGTAAAGAAGAAAGTACGTCGATAACCGTCGTTTGGTTTGCGCATGCTCGAACAAAAATTGACTGCAAGATGGGGTGACGCATTATTCCAAGCGGCTGCCCGCATGTATGAGAGGGGCCACTTCGCAGGCGCGAAAATAATCATCCACGCCGGCGGCAAGACACGCCGAGAATTTATTGAAGTCTTTGACTCAGGTGAGGACTCATTCAATCGACTGGCAGTTAGTTGGCGCACATTCCCTTTAGATA